CGATTAGAAGATATTAATGATACACAAATTTGTTTAAATTAGAATCTGGAAATTCTCGTTCTACACTTTTCGTGATATGACAATTGGCATTGTAACATTATTGTACGAAACATCTTCACATATGAAAGAACACGTTTATATAATTATAACATACAACGGTTGAATTTAATGTCAACTATATGTAACTCTACGTTTTAAAATATTATGAATTTACTGAAGATAACCAGATTGTGGCCGAAACGTTTAATGTTTTAATTAATGTAATGATAATTAAATATCACAAACTATAACTTGTGCAGTGGTTTTTTATGCTCTTCTTTTTATATGTTATAGCTGATCAACGTCTATATATTATATATTCCACGCACTAATTATATAGAAAATTGGTGAAATACGTTTTCACATATAATCTCAGTGAACTAGTTTTCACACATGATATAGTTTATAATGTATAAATTACACAAAAGATGTCATAAGACACAAGGCTTAATAATGAATAATTCTTGATATGTATCAAAGGTGTAAAATTGTACTCATTTTTGATACAATATAGTTCGAACATTATTCATTATTAAACCTCGTGTCTATAGCATCTTTTGTTCATTACATTATATCTACATTATATGTAAAAACTAACTTATTATTTCACCAGGACTCAACTTTTCCACATAATTAATGTGAGATCTTTTTAAGTCCTAGGAAGATACTTATAAGATGCCTATACTTCACCTAGAAGTATCGCCAATGCTGAAAGTGTATGGTCCCAGCACTTTGATTTTAATCGGCTCACATCCATTTAATTCGGTCATGCCCTGCACTTCGGAGAAAGTCACATAGTCACCGTCTTCCATACCATGGCGAGTATCATCCAGGCACGTGACAACGCCTTCACTATCGCGAGAGATGCTGGCGACCATCGCGCTCACTGGCGATTCGCCATTTGTGTCCACCACTGTGAATGTCTCACCGAAATCGCAGAATACCTGTGAGAAGAGGCCACGGGTGTCGGCAAGTATTAGGGCAATGTCGTTGGCGCGAGTAATCTGCGAGATGCGTAGCTGTTCGGCTAGTGGTGTTTCCGTCAACACCACAACCTTGAACTGTTGGATGTACGCCTCGTTCAGCGGACCAGAGTAGTAACGAGTAGGCACGTAATTGTTCAGCTCTGACAGGCGTTGACAACATGCTGCCGCACGATTCTTACCTAGTGAACAAATTTTTATTTAAAGATTTAATTTAAAAGCATTAATTCTATTTATATATAATTTATATATTAGGTGTTGGAATTAATTCGTAGCGTTTT